TTGGGAATGCGAGACAACTGTAGTTCGACAACTGGGTTCGAGTCCGGTCGCCAAGGTAATATTTGTGTTTGTAGGCATCTCTTCTCGTGAGTTTCACCACAATGGTAAACATTTACCAATACTTTGAAATTCCGGCACACCTGAAACTATCCCGTAGTATTGAAGATGGACTATTGTCCAAGGAAGCGGTAAGTGATTTTACCCACTCCGTTTACAGCTGCTACGGGTAATGGATCAAACATTGTCTATGTCAGAAAATACCTTTAGGTCCGACATTAAACGACATTTCTTCGATATCAAATATGATTAAACTCAAGATATTTGTCAACGAAAACTGTGAGGAATTTGCACAACTGTGATAGCTGATTATAAATCAAATCGACAGATGCAATGTGAGAAAGAACATTTTGTTTCTCGTACTGCTGTAACATAAGCAAACTTAAAGGTTGATATTCTTCTAATTGCATTATGCGATAATTGTCATCCATCACATCAACGAAAATCTAAACGTTCTTTTTCAAAATAAAACGAAATAATGATTTTAATGCTTCGTTTATGTTGAAAAGTTACACTGAGCAAAAGGACATGAGGTCTATTTATCTTAAACTATCTTGAAACAATTGATGTTAAAGACTAAATTAACCTCAGAACCCGTATCGCAATACAATGTCATGGGGAACAGCCCAAATTAAGTGCTAAATCATTTTTTTGTGTACAGTAAGGCCTATCAAAGAAACCTAACAGGAGTGCTTGGTAATAGTGTAATGGGCAATGGTATTTTGCATCGACGCTTCTTAAAAGTAGTTCCTGTTGGGTTTTTGCAACGATGACGCCAGTGTAACATACTTACACAATATCTGTGTATTGAGCTGCAGGGCTGACCTCCAAAATGATTTGAGCGACTTCCTGTTCCCATTGGAGAGGCACATTCACCGCTTGTATTTCTTCAGTTACCATTCCCTTTGAAACTTTGTCAGATATTTGCCTGAAACTTATATTAGGGTGTGAGTAGTAAGTCTCCGAAGTCCAGTTTCCAAAATATGCATCTCCATACATGTCCAGCATATGCTTCCGGGTTACGATTGTGCTCCTTCCGAGGTCTTTGATAGAACAGGTCATTCCACAAGGCCCTTCGCCCAAAACCCATCCGGTAACTGCAGTTATCTCAACCTGAAAATAAAGAAGAAAGTCTTATTCAAATGTGCAATACTAGTAGTTAATAGTCAGTTCCATTTGGTAGATGTGATTTTGGTTTCAGGGAACACCATTTAAACGCATCTATCTGCCTGATTAATTTCACAAATCGTGACACTTAATTCTCTGTTTGCCCGCAGTACACAGTTTGTCTTAGTTAGGTCATGGGAACATCAACAAATCTAAAGGTAGTTATATGTTTTTGACAATCTGCGTCTTGGTACCATGAACCAAAGTCAATTTGTTTGTCAATAATCTTTGGAGCAAATGGCAGTCCTATAGTATGTATTTGCCGTGCTGGGGATTTTTGGAGATGTCTACAGTCCGCAAAATACCATGTTAACAACCTCGACAAAATTTTGTTAGGATAACAATTTCAATACAATTTCTTCTCTGAGAGATTAAGTGTTAACCTGTCTTTGAAGACAAATATACATTAACAATTTCGTTATATTACTGTACCACATTGATATCTCAGCTTTCAAATGACAACTCTATATTATAATTGTGATATTTAAGTCATTGCTCCATTTAGAATTTAGTCAAGGATAAACAAACATATCAACTTCAAACTGGTCTGTTTGTACTCGCGTGTACATGTGAGTTGACTCAGTGGTTGCTTCAATATATCACGGACTGGATACATGTCTCTGCGTCTACAGAAAGTATTAGCATGTCTTGGATACACAAAGCAGTGGTTCATAAACCTGCAAAGATGCATACACCACCAGTCGACATGCAACACTAGTAATTAAGGCAAAATATGACATTATAAAATAAAATGTACCTGATACGCATTTGGATTCGATGTATTTACAACCTTGAAAGTCAGCGACCCTCCCATGAAGTTCTTATTCTGAGCCCAAACCCCCAGTTCGGTGGTCAGAAGCAGCACCCAGACCCAGGACAACTTCATCATGGATCTTCCCTGAACAATGCTTAAAGGCTGGATATTGATGAACCGCCCCAATTGTCTGAAATAAGAAGTATAATACACTGTAGTTTGTATTAACATTTGTCTTAAACATGAATTCTGTGTATCTAATTATTGGTGACCACGCCAAGATAATATGTAAAACCAAGAAGAAGGATCCCCTACCTTTCACTTGGTTGCTGTCTGCAACGTCAGTCCTCAGTCGTTCGCTGACTTGCAATTGTCCATTCCCCAACGTCCAGACAATTAAGCATTGTATCTCGGCAACACAGGAATAGCGATGGTCAGATTTTCAGCCAGTGTTTATCTAAAGCTGATGGAATAACGGCAGATCTCTTTGTTGATATGTGTCTCTATGGGAAAACGGAGATTCAATTGAAGTGTTGTCATCTAAAGCATGACTAATCTATGTTGTGGCAGCTAAATTGTTCAGTTTACATGTTTACCTTTAAAATAATGTTGGGGTACAGTGGTTGTCGAACTTCAGAATGGTTTTATCAGCAAACCTATCAAGATCAGAAGTGAAAAATGTCACACAAACAAATAAATATCTCAAGTTGAGTTAGTGAATGTTGTGGATATTAAAGCTGAGGGAATTAATACAGAAACGTAGGTCGCCCAGGGTGAAACTCCAGGTGAACCACACGATAAATCCCTGGCACGTAAGGTACATAATCCTTCATTTGGTCTTGTGCTGCTAGAACCCCAGGTGAGGGATATAGTATCTCCAGGAAGAGGGGCTCCCCACAATGTTTGAATGAGTCACGCTACCTTGGTCTCACTGATTACACCGAACTATGCGGGCAGACGAACAAAGTCCGCTCTCTTATTTCTTTCTCCTGGTATATAGGGTATCCCATAGAGTACAGGATTATTGATCCTTTCCAGCATTCCGGAGGGTTGTATCCGGTCAGAGTGAGATTTAGGACTGGACAGTGCTATAAAATAATACTGATTCCGTAAATAGACTGATAAAATGAAATTAGAACGACTGTGCAGTGGAGGCTACAAGACGTGCAAGACTACAAGATCGTTTATCGGCTTATATACCAAGGATTAAATATTTCAGAGGTGGGTTGCTCGCTGTCGCTTGGGATTTGAGACAAATTGTACAATAGCGGCAATACTGTGAATTAAAATAAATACTTAACGGCCAAGTCCAAATATGACTACATTCAGCATTTGGTCTTGTGTTGCTCACTCAATGACGAATTACCATCGGGGGACCTTCGGGATTTGGAGGGTTCGATCTTGGAAAAATGACTCACATTAAATGATAAGCGTTACCTTTATAGACATATGTGTATAGGCAGGTAAGTAGATATTTAGGTGGATAATATAGAGGTTATCCATAAATGTTTCATGTCTCCATGTCATTGAAACTTCTAAATGCTCACACTTTCTTGACACGCATTTAACCATGGAATAAATAGAACAGTGAAATTCCAATGGTTACTATTTTTAGAAGCGCCAGTAAACGGCAAGGTTTGACCGTAGTTAATGCATGAAGCGGAGGTGTATGTAGCAAGTACACGTTTCTCCAATAGATGGTTCCGGGTGTTCTAAGAAGTGACAAATAATACGTTTGATTAGCTTAATCGTGATCTTGTGAGGGTTCTGCTCATATGTGAGTATGAACTGGTCACAGTTGCGAAATGAGTACCCGTTAGTCGACCGAACTTTCTAAATAGATGTTTTTAATAAGCAGTTTTCTGTGGTCAGTTGAATGCAGAGGCCGATGACGTACTAGAAATAAAAACGAGTGTAGTCCAAATATGTATCTATATATCGTATTTCCATGCATCAAGTTTATTTATTACACCAGTTAAGAATCAATATGCTCAGCATTGTCAATACAATTGTATTTTATTGTATTATATTACTTTCAATGAAAGCGACAGAAAACGTTTGAAGAATGTGGTTTTTTTCTTGTTCATCTTTATAAAGTTTCTTGTAAAATGAACTTACCAAGAATAAGTGTTTGTTTTGTTTGTACTTATTAAAGTAATTTCCTACTCGGAATAACTTGCGTTACAAGATATCAGTTATGGTTGAATGTTTTGTATGATCAACACTGATCCCGGTTGTACTGATGATATTGTCATCTTGATAATTTCATGCTGATAGTACTGGTCCAACAAAGTTATGTTGTGTCTTCAGTTCCTTAATTATGTAAATGATAGTAACAATACCCGAAAATGTAGAAAGTGGTGCTAAGTTACGATATTCATAGGACTCTTATAAAGTCAACTTCTTTGGGTGGATTTAAAAGTTGGTGTGATGAACAACGGGGAGAGTTCTATGGATATACAACTTCTTAATTATTAATGTAAGCGACGTTTCGGTGTATCTGCTAACGCGTTATCAACCGAGTTGACTCTACTTTGTAAATGTCTCTTGTGCAACTGTGGCTGTTGTTTGTGGAATTTGTGAATTGAGTTATTGACAGTTCCATGGGCCTACTTTCCTTGTTTACCGAGTTCCTACATATTACGATTCCATATCATACTGTGAATATATTGTGTTATCACACACATTCTCATCATTATAATTCATTTATGTATGTTTGACAAGATACGTGCATGTTGTTTAATATGCTTTAAATGTACAACTACTGGTATTGCCACACTACGCTGTGTTAATTCAAATATTATCTAACACTCAGTACTCTACAGCGGACTTTACAAGGGCGACACAAACATGCAGCGACGTTGTACGATTGCGACTCCATCATAAGCAGTGTTTATGAATAATGAATTATGAATTTATGTCGCAAATTTGCAATGTTGCAAAGGTAAGATAAAACAAATACAATCGTTCTGTCCCGGAATCCGAAAGGAGGGTTTTGTCGTCACAAGTAAGCACAAAAACCTCACGTTGTCGTCTCCTTTATTGTTATTAAATACATTTTCAAATATGTTTAGACATAGACGATGCCTACATATCCAAAATTACCAGAACGTACTGTGTATCCTTAGCACTTGCTCTTTTGGTGCCAGAAATCGGCTTCACTTCGAAGAAATCCACCTCCTGCAAAACAGAAACGATCAGTGCTACGACAGTCGTAAGTTTATGTTAAGGTATGGGAGTTGGTACTAAGATCGCTTTGTACAACGGCACCTAGGAACATGTATGACGACCTGAGTCGTTATTATTTGAGAATCAATCATTTTGCATTTGAACCCATTTGAATAAACTTATTTACTCCAAAAAGTCCTATAAAAACTTCTGTATCAGGACAATGCTCAGCAAATGACAAACACAAATGGCAGGGGTGTATTTGGGGGAACGACAGCCTTACCTGAGAGGATGCAATGAATGCTACCCTGTTTTTTCCATTGTAACCATTGACAGAAACCGTGACAGCGTTGGCATGCCCACTGGTCTTAGCAAACGTATGCCACGCCAGGCGCTCACTGAAATTACTTGGAACAGCTGCAAAACGAAGCCTCAGATGTAATTTGAATTAAATTATATTGAGATTATGTGTTCTGCTATGGACATATGCTTTGTAATACCGATTGCATGTGTCAAAACTAAAGATCATATCGCTTCCAAACGTGTGTCAGATAGGTTACAATTGCAGTTGAAATGATGTGAGAGGGGTTTATTATCTCAATGTAATATTCATTCAACTACAAAGAACAACCTTATGGTAACACACACAATGTTTATGTGAAATATTTAGGCATTTAATATAGTTTATTGAATACCATATTGAATGTCACATCATACACATCGTTATAATGTTCACATTGTGATTGTCGGCGATGGTGTCCCAAAAGCATAATGATCGTTATAAATATTTGAAAAAACGCGTAAATACCTCCTTGAGATGACGCTGGTCATGAATATTTTTATGTTTACTTTTGTAAATCTTTTCTGCTGTCTGCTTTCAAGAATTTCAAATCAATTTGGGGCGGTGGGGTAGCCTAGTGGTTAAAGCGTTTGCTCGTCACGCCGAAGGCCCGGGTTCGATTCTCCACATGGGTACAACTTGTGAAGCCCATTTCTGGTGTCCCCCGCCGTGATATTGCTGGAATATAGCTAAAAACGGCGCAAAACCACACTCAGCCAGCCAGTCAAATCAATTTACGGACCTCTGGGTATTCATACAGTTTCAGATCTGTGGGATTTTGATTGACTTTTTACAATGGTCATTCCAAGACTGTTCAATACAGCACAAATAGGCAACGTTTCAACAAAACTAGATTTTGGTAAAATATCACAGAGTCGCTGTCTGTTTATATTCAGTTTATCACTGTTCTCTGTCAACCGTACACGTCTCTTGTCAATGGGGGCGGTGGGGTAGTCTAGTGGTTAAAGCGTTGGCTCGTCACGCCGAAGACCCGGGTTCGAATCCCCACATGGGTACAATGAGTGAAGCCCATTTCTGGTGTCCCCCGCCGTGATATTGCTGGAATATTGCTAAAAGCGGCGTAAAACCAAACTCAGTCAGTCAGTCAGTCTTGTCAATGGTTCTTGTTGGCGTCCCGCAGCTGCCAATATGAGCAGAGACATCAACAAATATGTACACAGTACTCACCCAGTAATACTGCATCCGAGCCGCCATAACCACCCACAGTCATGTTGTTGATTTTCAAGTCATTTCTGTTGTCAATGGAAGCCACGGAGGACTGCGCCATAAACATCACACTGTTGACACCAGCAGCGATCTCAATGCTCTTCACACTGTTGCCGGCGCCGCTGCTTAGCCTGGAGAATAACATATATACTGAGTGAGTGAGTGAGTGAGTGAGTAATATGGTTTTGGCCGCTATTAGCAATATTCCAACAATACGGCGGGGGACACCAGAAATAGGCTCCACACATTGCCTCTGTGTTGGGAATTGAACCCGGGTGTTCGGTGTGACGAGCGAACGCTTTAACCACTAAGCTACCCTACCGTCCCCACATTATACTGTCTACCTTTGAGATGTCATGGTGGGAAGTTTCATGTCAGTTTGTATTTTGTACAATTGCTTTTGTACATGACACATGCAAGTGAGAAACCGAAATCAGGGAACAGTTATGCAAAACAACGCCATAAAATGATATTCCGGTTAAAATCACATTAATCGCTTGATCGAAAACTTCATTATTGTTAATGCCTCAGTGGTGTTTCGGTGGCCCTTCCCACAGTCCCATGACGTTGTGCATTCGTGGCATGATGTGGTGTTCATTAGCCGTTTAATTGTTTTCAACGATCAAACGTCAAACAAGCTTCCCAAAGCAAGTTTGTAACATTCATGTTCTCCATGAATGTTTCACCTTGATGAGGTCATATGTCATACTTATTTCTCTGGTAAAGATGCTTGGAGCTGTATGTTTAGAACAACCAACACGTTATTAAAGTAATGTTTTGAAAAACTATATGCTAGAGTGTTACCTCTGCATTCTGAGGTATTCTCAACCTACCTGGCAATATAGAACTGCACCTCCTCCACCTGTCCGCGATCAGTATCGATTCTTCCCCCTACCGATATCGAGGTGGCACCGTGCATGTTGTAGGTATTCACGTACTTGTCATACGTCGGCCTCTGGTGCGATGGCATAATCGTTAATCTGCAATTGCATTGTCAAAATATGACCCATTGGAATACTAAAAAATATAATAAATTGGCATTGTGAAAAGTTCAAATGATCAGTTAGTGTTCAAATTCAAGAGTAAACCATTCTCACTTACTAAAACCGTTTGATGGTTTTCTGTCGATACATAAATGTTATAGATGGTATAAGACAGATGACCTTGAGTATTGAGACCAAAATATGTTGAAAAGAAATTAGGGATCATGAATATTTTATAAATTATGTTGCTTTCTGATTGGTTTGGGTTCTGTTTAGTTCTATTTTGGGTTCTTTGTTTGGTTTTGGGGCTTTGTTTTAGTTTGGTTTGGTTTTTAATTAATTCATTCATTCATTCATTCATTTATTTATAAAAATTGTTTTCCTTTGTGTCGTTGATTTGTCCTATTTCGGTGGAGGGGAGGGTAAAATGACATGTATCTAAATAATCATCGCAAGTATATATAGATATTCCTTTTCAGCAGAGCGATGCTTAAGAAGTATTTAACACTGTCACAGCAGAAAAACAACGGTGGCGAAACTGGCTTAAGCGTTGTTACAACAAGAGATGCCTACGATGAAAGTTCAAAAAGTTTTTACCCATGGAGGCTGCCGTGGTTGTTTTGGATATCCTCGGTGTCGTATCTGAAGATGGAGTTGCCGCCGTCGGTATAACCAGCAAAGTAAAGTTTCTTGTCATTGTCGTTGTAGTAGATGTGTTGGATGCGACTGTCGGCCATGTTCTGTGTGTCATAGTCCTCGATGCCTTATTAACAGAATTTCTTTAACGTCAAAGCAACATTTGATTACTGCAGTGCGCGAACAAAGTGTCTCTAGTTGGACATCATTGCACTGAAGATTTTTGTTTGTTTTTTTACGCCGCCGTTTTTTATGATGAATATTCGGCAATATTCCAGCTATATACCAGCGATCTACAAATAATCGAGTCTGGACCAGAAAATCCAGTGATCAACAGGATGAGCGTCGATCTACGCAATGGGAGTACGATGACATGTGCCAACCAAGTCAGGGAGCGTGACCACCCGATCCCGTTAGTGGCCTCTTATGACAAGCATGGGTTTCTGAAGACCAATTTTAGCCCGGATCGTCACGGGTATGAACAATATCTTATAAAACAGCTTCTTTGTAGTGTCTATATGGACCTTCATGCATGCGGCTGAACATACAAATTCGGCCTAAATATTTCGTTTTCTTAACAAGTAGCGTCATCTACAATCCATCTTGAAAAGCGTACAAGGATTCAAAGGTCCGGGTTCACCTGATGTTTGCACATTGCAATTTCCCATTCATGATTTTATAAAAACTAAAATTGTATTTGTTTTAGTCGTTGGCGATGAATTAAGTAAGGTAATTTATTTAACCTCTGGGTTTCCGATGTATTTATAATTATATCAAAGTATTCCTAATGATTTAAGGGGAAGGATATTTTGCGTCCAGGATCCAGTAATAAGGCGAGATGTACACTTCTTGTTATCCTCGGCCTTTCAGCGGCACACCATACATGTGTTGGTGCGTACCGGTAATTCGCTGTCCTTTCAGATAGTTACCTCCAACACAGTAATCCGTCCAGATCACTTTTGACAGCAAATAATCCATTGCTAAAAGGCACGGGACTTGCACCGGGATGTGATGTGGGTAACTTTGGAAGAAATAGCTGTAGATAACCTGCAGTAAAAGAAGCTCTGGTCGTTAATATGGGCTTAGTATGACTGGAATCCAGTGATCAACATCATGAGCATCGATCTACGCAACTTGGATATGATGACATGTGTCAAATAAGTCAGTGAGCCTGACCACCCGACCCAGTTAGTAACCTCATACGACAAGTATGGGTTGCTGAAGACCAATTCTAACCGGGATTCTTCTAATTCCGTAAGGAAGTTACAGTTGGATTACAAATGTATGCTGTGGACATATATTGAGCATGAAGTATAAACCAGCAACAACGAAACCATACAAAACCTCAATCATGAATTAAAAAAATGTCACTGTATCGGCTTCGCTTAGTGACGAGCTTTTACTCCATGTTCTGCAGAACGTGACTTTCAACAAGTAGAATTGATCCACATTTCCGTTTCACTGTATCTCTGTATTTACTGATGCATTACATTAGGTTTATGGTATTTGCCACCCTGCCTTTGTTTACTAGACCACGGAACGCGGTGCGACTGATTTAAAACAAACAAGCACAGCGGTTACAAACGCGGGCAATCCTATTTGACAATCATCAGACTATTCCCAGTTGCGTGTGTTTTCTAGAAGAAGGCGGTTTACCTTAGGCTGCTGGTCTCATTTGTTAATAACGTTCCGGGATTATATTATTATTTTCCTGATATTCTGTAGGTCAGAATAACCTAGCGCTTCCCTGGTCTGCTTTTGGCTAAATGTCAGCAGAGATTGCAGGATTTGTTCCAATGTGTCACAACCAGTATGTTAACTTAACGCAAACACTTAACCGTCAACATTAACTGGTGGTATATTAATCAGCGATATCTGATGACACACCTTCTTGTGGGTACCTTGCAGGAAGCTTGGTACTGTAAGCCCACCTACAAGTTGCCTAGCTGTGCTTGCTCGTGGCGAACCTGTAGGTCTTTATTACTGTACAAATCTAACAGTTAACAGAAAACTAAACATTTCATTATGTTGCATGCTTTTTGCTAATTTTTCACTTAACTGAGGCATGAACATTTATGTATCACTATTAAACAATGATGATACCACCGTCGGTACCTATCACAAACACACTCAAAGTCAAGTCAATTGTTTACCGATAAAAAAAAATCATGTAAGCACGTACCATTTTCCTGTATGGATCTATGGCGGTGTCAGTGTAGTGATTCTTTCCTAGCTGTTTGTCACCAAGAAGTTTACCACTGGCGTCGTAATGGAAGAGATGCCCTGACGTCAACAGCATGGACACAGTACCGTCGGTGGCGATGTCGCTCTTGCACTTGGTTCCGGAGCAGCCGTGAGCTATATTGTTTATTCAAACCTCAAAATAGATATACACGAAAACGGCGACATCATTAGAGTCAATGGCGACATCATTAGAGGCTAAAATATCGCCTATGTGACTATAAATCTTAACTCCCTCAGTATTAGAGTCAAATGTATCATAGTTCTCTCTAAGTTCAAATTAGACAAATACATTTGAAGGTTTGAAGCCCTTGACCTGCATGTGATGTATGTTGCAGCCAAAAGTCTACTTTGAATGAGGCCTTTATGCTGTCTGGCCATATATCTTTGAAATGCTTATACGTGAAACACAGGGGCCTCAGTTTTCAGAATCAAGAGCAATATATATTTTCATGCAAACACATACCAACATTCCAGACCTGTTTGAAGTTCTGGTCGAGGACTGTAATACCAAAATCTCCCTGGATGAGAATTCTAGGAGTACCAGCCACATCTCTGACTCTGATACCAGTTACCTGGTATATACAAGCATGTTAGTTGAAGTAACAAGCAGGGTTTTACATCAGCATTGGGAATATACCAACCAAGTCTCCCCCGGGGTTACCAAATTTAGAATTCTAACATTGTACCATGTGAGCTATCACTCTTAAGCCCTTCCAATACCGGTGTCCAGTCTCAGGGTACGTGAGTATGATCTGACTCCCATAATGTATGTTTATATGTTTGTTTATTTGTTTGTTTTTTATCCCCGCATTCCACACATATGACGGCGGTCTGTAAATCATGTCTGGGCCAGATAGTCCAGTGATTGACATCATGAATATCGACCCATGCAATTAAACGATGTCCTGTGATCCACCAAGGCATTAAGCCCAATCACTTGATCCATTCAGTCGCTCGTAACGACAAGCAAAAGTTGCTGGGATTTATATTCATAACTTTACTTCTACCAGAATCTGCAGTGTGTGTGAGAGAGAAGAGAGGGGTTGGGGGAATTAAACCCAGCTGTGACTAGCAGAGCTCGGACACCTAGATCAACCCAAAGGAACACAAAGGCACATGGAGGAATAAGATATGATGTAACGTGTGTTTGTTTTCCACTTTTATATTTAGAATTAAGCTATTGATCATATAGTCAAGATATTCTACGTTTTATAGAGGGCATTTAGTAAATGTTCCCCTGGAACAGCAGCAGTGTTCAGGTAACTACATCATTGTTTACCACGACGTTATTCTAGGTTTATTTAACACTCATGGCAGTGATAATAGTAATACCCATTTACACTTTCACTTAATGAGTTAAGTTGCTCTACGTAAACCATCATTGTTTCCTAATCGTCAACTAATGCACATGCATAATTCTCAGCAGGTAATCCATGAATTGTCATTAGTCTCATCACTCTCGCCATTCCGGTATTGACAAACGGTTTGTACATTAACACTGTCAACATTAAGGAAGGATAAGAATCTATGGATCAACAACTTCTTTATTAAAGGGAGAGCGACGTTTAGGTGCACATTATAGGTTCTGAGACCATTATCAAGAAAGTGATGGAGAACCTACATCGACACGTAATAAAGAAGTTCTTCATCCAAAGATTATCCTTCCTTACTGCTCCAACTTCTAAATGCCTCTCAAAGAAAATATCCACATTGACCAACCTCTGAGCTGAATCTCCATACCCCGTCAACAGAGGACTCGGTATTCTTCAGCCTTAATACATATCCGTCTGCAGTCAATAAATGAATAATATACACAGTCACAGTGCAGGCTTTTTGTACTTTTGTATACACTGGAAAACTTCAAATTTGTTTGAAATTAAATTTATATTAAGTAAAGTAAACAAACACGGGGCAAAAGAAGGCATATTTCATAGTGATGAATGAACAAAAAAAGTAATGGTTGGCTAGTTGGTTAGTGATGTATTTTGAATAGCAGTGTTTTGGACCTCATGTTTCGGCGACTGTTTTCTGCCTAAAAGTGTTTTGGGACTGAAGTAAACGTTTTTAAATTTCTTTCTCAAAATATAGTTTTCAAGTGTGTACTTCTTTTTGCCCTGCAGTGTTTCCAAGAACATATCATTGGCCATCAAATCATTCAGATAAGAAGAGTATCAGCTGTTTTTAAAAAAATTAACAAAGATCCAGCTTTATAGTCGGTAAATGACTGTGGACCAGATGATCCAGTGAGCATCTATTTCCGCATTTGAGACACGGCGGCATGCATCAAACAGGTCAGCGAGCATGAGCACATTTATCGACAAGCATGGATTCCTGAAGGCCGCATTTTAACCCGGATCAGCATGGGGAAAGAAGGTATGAGCTCTCTGGATAATTAACAACAAATGGTCAAAGGATCCCAGTGGCAGCATACACCATCGAACCAGTTAATAGATAATAGACCTACTTGCGGAACGAGATACCTCTACTGACCTCCTGATCCCTGCGCATGCGCACCAAAGTTAAATGGCCCACTTCCGGCAACATACACTCTCCCCTGAGAATCAACGGCGGTGGAAAGGGCTGTGTTGATGCTGGACGAGGACCCTGAACAGGCATATTAAACATCAATATATAACACACAAATCAAAATGCTGCCATTAACAAACAGGGTTGTAGCTACAGATGCCAATCGCGTTTCCATGTTCTTTTGCAAGGACGAAGTCATCAGTAGACTTTTCATTTAGAATCATTCTTGGATGTCCTTTAGTACAATGTGCCTTCTACATAAATATTTGTTGTAGTAACTAGTTTGTAGGCATGTAAGCGCAAAGCATATCGGTAGCACTTCCCGTTTACCTCCACTTAAGTAGCTGATAAGGCTGACATTAAGGTTGAGAGGCGCGCTCCCTGCTCCGTGTGTCAGCTGAGCCGTTGCTGCTAAACACAGAACTACCAACATCTTGTATTCACTGAAACAATTATATTAGCATTCTTAAAAACTCTCACTTTTTCATATGTTACAGTCGTATTTGACGTAATGCTTACCACTTTTTCATATTTCAGAATTGTCAAATATTCCTTCTTCCATATTTCAATCTCATCTAAATTCATAACGATTGAGTCATTTTGGGGTGAATATATCATGAATAAATACAATACAATTACACTAGTTCTGTGAATTTGACATTATACTCATTTCGTATTTAGATTTTGCAGAAGCATGATTATGCAAAGGGTTTAGTCGCTTTTATTTGCCTACAGCGGGTATCACACAATACAGAATACAAGACCACACACAGGTGACCCGATTAGGAAGGACATGCAGGTTATTGAAGTGAGCATTATCATCGATGTACCTACCTTTGTTTACCTGTCACGAGTGAGTATATGCCAACATAATCTGACACAGATATATACAAAAGCCTGTGAATAGAACACGTGTCGGAATCTAAGTTCATAATGAGTTCAAGACAGACTTTCGGATAATCTTAAACAATGTTGGTTCACTTCAGTTCAAAATTCTAATAAATGTTTTATCACTCCCAATTTAAGACACTTTAAAATGTGGAAAGATATTTAAATTCTGATATTGCTTTACATCTCAGATCTGCACTTTTCAAATTTAGATATGGTAATTTTACTAAGCAGTTGAAACTGGAAGATACAAGATAAAGTTAATTACAATGAGAGAAATATATATTTTGTAAATTGAATGTAGATATTATTGAAGATGAATTTCATGTACTGTTGAAGTGTGAACGTTTTTCTTATTTAAGATTGAGATATATTCAGACATATTTGACTGATTTTGATCCAAATGCCAATGTTATCAACATTATGAAATCAAATAATCACTGTGTGATAAACGATGTTAGTATTTTTCTGTATCACGTACTTCAGCGCTTTAGAATTGTTCCTATTCAACAACATGTGCACTAAACTATCAATATCACAAGCAAATGACTGTATGATGGGCCTGTGGCCTTTTACTGAATAAACTTGTCTGTCTGTCTGTCAAGACAGCAGAACGACCATTTCGAGTGACAATGGTCTGAGATATATTGTATGAACTTACAGAATATGACACTATTATTATTTCATATTTCAAGTATTGTTGGCTGTGTCATACGATATGCAAAAACATGTTTAACAAGTCCATCTCTCTCTACAATTTTGCGACTGCAGATGAAGTGAGAATATTCTTGTTAGTGATGATGAATGATGATCAGCGGCAGCACATTGAAGCGCTCGTAAAATGTCATGTTCCCATATTTGTAGGTATAGTGACGGCAGGGTACAACCAGGGTACTTTAGAGATTCCGCCCTCTTGCATTGACGCTGTTTTACACCATATTACTCGAGACGTTAATAGAAGCGACAAAACCCTTTCCGCATCTATCAGAAAGTTTGTTATCCATACAGTTTGTTCAATATTATACGTCCCAACTTCTATAATGCCACTCAAACAAGTTATCCACCGTGTATATGGAGACGTGGCAATTAATCATTCCCGCTTGAAAACGGTACATGAATCTGTATCGAAACGTGGCACTCACGAAATAAAGAAGTTGTTATCCATAAAGTTTGTTCAATACTGTTCCTCCACATGTCTACCATAAAGCTTTTTGAAAGCTTTACTGAGGCCTTGAATGTTGTAACCTTGATCAAACAACCTCGGAGCAAGAGTGGTATGACGCTCTTGAAATAACGGTAAAAGGAGCATGCTCGTTTGTACCTCAAAGGACGGGATACCTATCTGAAAACGCCGATATTCTGCCTGCTTCTTGTTACACTAGCTGTTTCCACGCGCGGGCCGCATGCCTCATTCAAGACATTCCACTGAGGCAATTGTGTCCTGTATTTCACGTCCAAGGCCTCCTTTCACATAGCACTATGGTGATCGTAAGTCACTAAAGTAACCTTAGTGCAATGTTAAAGAATGGTAGTTAAGGTTAAACTTAGTAAAGGTTGCTTCTTGAAAAGACCCCCAGATGGGTAAATCGGTTTGTTCGTTTGGGGTTTTGTTTTATAGGAAATGAGATTATCGACACACCTGAAGTTCAGGTTAAACTTCTTGGTCACATTATCCCGTTTTGACTCCGAATTTGACTTCGGAGTAGAAACTTCGTGTTCAGAAAGGGGGGCGCAGTTGGTGCCCATGGGGAGGTCTACCTATTTCCTGGTCCCCAGTTGATACATATATATTGAGGATTACTAGGACCAGATGGAAGAAAACGTTCCCAAAACCTCTTAAATAAGACTTTCTGACATATGCTAGTCTTACCTATACGTTTAGTGTTGAAATGAAAGTCAAATTCTCATTCATATGAACATATCCATACGGTTATTTAAAGTCTTTTTCTGAGAGAGTCCTTATACCACATTTTCCTTCGCAGATAATATTTATGAGTGTGTAAATCAAATATGAAACATCATGAATGACTATCACAAAAAAACACAAGCATTAAACTGACGAATTCGTCCCTATAATACTTGTCCAAATCCTTAACCTTGAGCCTGTACGCATCACACTCATCATCAATGGTTACACCAGTTTTGTCAACCTTTGCGATTTGAGTCATTTCGGTTTTTGTTACACATTAAATTGCCATGCCGTGAAAACACCGAGATTCAGTTTCTGGCAGAGATTCTTTGTCGATGACAAAGTCTGCCAGTTTCCCAACTGCCGGTCACCTAAACATTTGTCTATGTCCTTGGTGGTTCAATAGTGTGAACCCGATCCCTGTTCCAAGCGTAAACTAATTATGAAATAAGCGAGATTACAACATACCCAAAATAAACACCAAAAGAAGTATGACAAATAACAGTAAGTTTCAACACACGAAAATCCTCTCTCATGATGAATGGATATCCCCAGGGCATTGTACACGTTGTATTCAACAGTATTTGGAAGCCAAACATGAGAAACAAATAGAACTTACAGAACACATCATAGCTAGAGATCGTTACTGTTATTGTATTTACATTTATCTATAATCAATGACTGGATTTTTTTTTAAAACATTTTGCATTCTCTTCCTCGGGCTATACTCACGTTGAACTCATTCATATTATCATTAAAGGACAAACAGACAATGTCTTTATATAAGAATCAGATACGTAATTAGTGCTAGAGAGTTTGATTCGGTGGTAAATATTTCTATGATTGTGGCCTCGGGTGTACATCGGAACAGTATGGATGAGGCACTGTAGCTCACCCAAATTTGCAGCTAACAGTTTAGATGTTGCTGCTGTCAGCTGTGACATTCCAACTACACATGCACTGGGTTATAAAACCATATTCTGCACAATTAATAACAAATACGAGTATGATAACGACTAGGTGTGTCATGTCTTAAATGCCTTCGAATGAAGATTGTTATGTTGATGCCGATAACGCCAAGGAATGTTCCTTGTTAGATCACATTTATAACTGGTTTAAATATTACCATGTGAACTGGCTGTGTGGCCAGGCACTGTGTCTCTACCTTTTTACAACTGACTTCGTTCCTGTTGACGAATGGCTATCCATATAAAAGTGTTCCGAACAGCTGGAGACTTCACTACCACTGATATTATTTATCTTTTTCGTTGCCTTTTCTCGTCTTGTTACGGATCCAGAGAGGACGAAAGACATCACAACAAATGTGAAAAGGTTAAACTTGATTAAGCCTTTATTTATGAAAATTGTAAGAATGCAAACAAACGAACGCGGAAACAGTAATACATACATTAGTAGCAAAAGATATTATGATATGGGTGAGATATTGTCGTTGCAAAGTTCGTTAGATGTAGACCCACACATCCAAGAGCGGAACGAACTTCAAGGAAAACTAAAATGCATACATGTCACTTGTTTCACCGAGTATAACAAATAAATAATTTCTTTGCTGCATTTCTGTCATGGTGGTGGAAAGCACCTTGAACCACGTAAATGGGAAACTTTACGTGGGAAACTTTACATTCTCGTAGTTGATGGAATAGAAGCAGGCTTACATTTATGGAATCGTTTGTTGAACAGCAACTCCAGAATTAAAGCCAACAAGGAGAGCCCAAGGCATACGCTAACGACGACGACGCATCCCAGTAAATCTTTGATCACTATTGCCTTGGCCGATTTGTCCTGTATACACGTGTTATTATGACCTGAGGACCACTTCCGTCTGTTGAGGATGTTTTGAATAATTCCTGACTGGACAAGGAAGGACATTCTACAAGAAACAGAACAAAACAGCACGTAGAACGTGAATGGGAAATGCAGTCGGACAACATTCTACCTGCGTGATTAAGTATGGTTTTACGCCGCTTTTAGCAATATTCCTGCAATATCACGGCGGGGGACACCAGAAATAGGCTTCACCCCTTGTACCTACGTGGGGAATGGAACTGGGGTCTTCGGCGTGACGAGCAAACGCTTTAACCACTAGACTATCCCATCGCCTTAAACATTAAAGATTATAGACCATTTGGACATGGTTATCATATACCAGTCACTTCATTATGAATCCAGCATATACCCGTGAATATTCGGGTTAGAATTCATCTTCAGCTAGCCATGCTTGTCTTAGGAGGCGAGTCAGGGGATCCTGGTGGTCAGGTTCGATAACTCCGTTGATGAGTGCCTTGGTATCTCAATTGCTCAATGCTCATGGTGTCAATCACAGGGATTTCTGGTCCAGAAATAACTCGATTATTTACAGACCGCCGTCATTTAGCTGGACATCTTCATGTAGCCTTCGGTCGACATTAATACCTAGATATTATCAATAGTTAATGTATCAAAGGTAAGGTGTCCATATTTTGAATGAAAGTTTAGCTGTATTGTACACTTCAAGGTTCTAGTCATGCAAGTACCCCCACTGTGTGTTTTCTATGAACCTCTATTTCATAATGAAGCTCATAGACGGAATGCAATATACTCTAAGCATTATTTCGGCTACATGTCAGCGGCCTGTGCTCAATCGGATCTGGAAAATATAAACCAGTGGTTGATATTAAGAACAATACCAATCAGTTTGAGGCTATGATGACGCTTAACCAAGACGACAAGTCTGATAAAACTATCCATTAAGCAAGATATTCATTGATGAGTGAGTGAGCTTAGTTTTATGCCGCTTTTCCAGCAATATCACGGCAGGGGACACCGGAAATGGGTTTGTACCCATGAGGGGAATCGAACCCGGAATGACGAGCGAACGCTTTTACCTCTGGTCTACACACCGCCCTCGTTGATGAGAGTCAGCATTACCAAGTATCTACACGAAGGCCACAGACAACATGCACCATGGATAATGATGGATATCTGAATCACTCATGATAAGATGAAAATACTAACACTATCTGCATAGATACGACGACAATACTAACACTATGTGCATAGATACGATGATAATACTAACACTATGTGCATAGATACGATGATAATACTAACACTATCTGCATAGATACGATGGTTAATACTAACACTATCTGCATAGATACGACGATAATACTAACATTATCTGCATAGATACGATGATAATACTAACACTATATGCATAGATACGATGATAATACTAACACTATCTGCATAGATACGACGATAATACTAACACTAACTGTATAGATACGATGATAATACTAACACTATCTGCATAGATACGATGATAATACTAACACTATCTGCATAGATACGATGATAATACTAACACTATCTGCATAGATACGATGATAATACTAACACTATCTGCATAATACGATGATAATACTAACACTATATGCATAATACGATGATAATACTAACACTATCTGCATAGATACGATGATAACACTAACACTATCTGCATAGATACGACGACAATACTAACACTATCTGCATAGATACGACGATAATACTAACACTATCTGCATAGATACGATGATAATACTAACACTATCTGCATAGATACGATGATAATACTAACACTATCTGCATAGATACGATGGTAATACTAACACTATCTGCATAGATACGATGGTAATACTAACACTATCTGCATAGATACGATGATAATACTAACACTATCTGCATAGATACGATAATAATACTAACACATTCTCCAGGTCATCTTTCAGTGGTGACTGCAAGGGGATGCCGAATGCGCTCTGTTGCCAACTGACTTTGTCTTGTAGAGTTGCCAGTCTACAGTCTTCCTGCTGATATTTCTGAATTTGGCTAGTGTACATAAAGGCAGCGTGTTTGCCTGTCTCAACCTTTCTGGCATGTGCATCGTAATCGGTGGACATTATGAAAGGGTTGGTTTCATTTTCTTTCTTCATTCTTCTCCAGGCTTTTTGTACGTCCTCCCTGGGAGATGTCTGTAAACATACATTATGAACATATCAACGTACATTGTATGCATGTGGGGAATCGAACCCGGGCCTTCATTGTGACGATGGAACATTTTCACCTAACGTTAGCAATGTAGAAAGCATGTCGAGTTATCAGCAGTTCGAGACAAAGGGAGATGGGAAATGTCTTTAACGATATGTCAGGATGATGGGAGTTCGAGTTAACGAGGTATTACGTTACAAATAATATTTTATACAAAATATATATGACCATGTTAACACTACACCGACTGAAATCAGAATCTATTTAATATGCACCGAAAAGGATGACTCGATCTGTCAGGGTAAGGTGACTGTATAGAATTCAAAAACGTCTAAAAGACACATGACCTTAATTATTGCACGTCAATATCTTACCTTGAATAGATCATAGTTGACACCTTCAATGGGCATTCCCAGAGTGTAGTCCTCCCTCTCTACCAGTTCCATCAGGTTGGCAAATGGCGGCTTCTCTTTCTTGACCGATATTGCTGCTACGAAACTGGCCGTATAGATGGAGACAATGACAATCAGGAACAGCAGCCAGAACCCCAGAAGTAGTTTACTTCCGTAAGACACCGGCTCCTGTCTCTTCTCACAACTTGGCTTATCTGTCACTAAAACATACATCAAAGTTTATCATGATCAGGGCCTAGATTTTCGTAACGTTCGTATCCCTACGACCTTCTTAAACCCATTCTTAACACATTGGCTACGATCAAAGTTAAGAATTCTTAGGGCTACGAACGTTTCGAAAATCTAGGCCCGGGTACATAGCAAAATATGATATCATATAAATCAAATTTGATAAAAAGACCTTTAAGATGCAGTATCCGTATTCGTTCTTTATATTTTTAACATTGCACATCATGTCAAGCTTAATTACAGCAGCATAGTTACACGGCTCATTAAGCGATATTCCAACAAGGAGTTCAAGTTCAACGTTACTCTCTCACCATCGTCCACGTTAAGTCAGAAGACACATTCATTCTCCCCAGAATGATCAAACAATTTTCGTCCTACTGTCTAATTATTAAGTTTTGTCTCAGTTACATAACTTATCTTTTTTAATAACGTCAAAAAACTTACCTTGCTTCAGTATTGTTGAAAGTGTGAACCACAACATCTCATACCAATACCGATAATTTGAGAATTCAAAGTTGGATCTACTTTGAGTGATTCTGTAGAGAATTGAAAACAGTATTCCACATGCAAATATAAGGAGAAATACTTCTAGTTTAAATGGTTTAGCCAGCAGTAGCCACTGATTGGCATCGTCGTCAACCTTCTTGTACATCACTTCCACGTAGCTATACATTATAGGGGGCATGATGAAGTCCATGACAGCAATCCTGTCTTCGTGAACACTTAGGTCCGCGGCTACCAAATCAACCTCCTGAAATGGAGAGATGAAAAGCACATATAAGAACTACAAATATAAAACCTTTAACATGTATTGTTAATGTCTTTGTTGTGGACCAAAAGAATGGCATTCCACTGCATGCAAACTGTTAAATAAAACTTTTATGAAATAACATGTGACAACATTCCAGCCGTGTTACTAGAAGGATGGTAAATGTCAAAAAGTGCCTGCAAATTGAAGTTTCGTTAGAACCGAAAATTGAATCATGTCATGGCATGGCATATCTACTGAGTGTAACTATCTAAATAAAATATGACAGACACACTCTTCTTTGTATTTGAATACGTATCCCTCATATAAAAAAATGTACTGAAACAGTGGTATTCTTTGGTGCCAACTGTACGCTATGTACAGTCGAGCATGCATCTAAGATTTCTGAAAAGGTTTTTGATCACGATTACAACATTCAAGGACTTTTAAAGCTTTCATAGTGTTTTATGCTGTACATGAGGAGACTTTTTTATAAATCAGTGATCATTGACCAAATGGATGCCCGAAGCAATTCTCTAGTTAAGCATACTCCGTGTTTGTTCAGGGAAATCATGACTTGTTTTGGCATGTGTAGGTGACTTTGCAACCGCACCGTATGCTCTATCTTTGCTAGCAGCTGGTATGAATTTTCAGGTACGATTGGACAATCATTATAACTCATTGTGAATAAGATCATACACAGGGCAAAAGTGATACCAATGACGGAGCAATCCTAGCTATTATATTACCCCAGTTTAGCATCTTTAGGAACTAGTTATGAAGGGCAGAATAATGGACCTACTTTTTGGCTTCTTGATTCCTTTTTTACCAACGTGCTTGATATTTTAAATTCTTTGAGGCACTAGTTATGAAGAGCAGAATACTCGGCCTACTCTTCGACATCTTGATTCCTTTTTTACCAACATGCTTGTTATTTTAAATTCCTTTAGGAACTAGTTATGAAGGACAGAATACTCGACCTACTTTTCTCTGCAATTGCCCTACCATGCCGTTCCATACTCCATCGACCTCAAGGCCCCATTGTTTGTCAGCCGGAGGTCGGATGATGTAGCTGAAATATATATGGGCAAGTAGCTCTTTTTCAGTACATCTGGGGATGTTAATAGTCCGTAAATCTTAATGTCGACTAATAATCACAAACAGTTCTCATTTCCTCTTAATATTGTCTAAATATCTTTTCACCAGATTGGTCATTACGAGCATAATATTAATTTGTACCACCAACCTGAAATTTAGTGTCTTTGCCAAAATTTGAAGAATGTCGGCTATAGGTCCGGAAATTGAAATTCTGTTGTCCACTACGTCCATCTCAAGCATTCCTAGAGACTACAATGGAATATGTTAGAATATTGCAAGCGTTGTCATTAATCTAACAAATAAGTATGTGCAAAAGGGGAAATAGATCCAAAGGTGACTGAACTCTATTTTACGCCGCACGATCTACTCTCTCAATTCTGGTAGTTTGATTATAATTATCATATCTGATTAATAATTCTCGTTTTGAAAAGTCAAAACAAAACTTGGACTTACCGGTAAGGTCGAAACTACCAATGTTCTTTTGTTGTGTCCATATTTCATGTTGGGAAACAGATTTGTCTCTGTGTATAACAGAGTTGGTACTTCCAGGAACCGGTGTTCTGCCATGGTGTTATGGATTGTGTATATAAAAACCTTCTGACATCTTGAATCCTTAAACACCAAGCAACACTCACGATGTGATTGTATACATAAGATAAATGTCATTTAAGGCACAAATCGCGTCACAGGTATTGGTTTGCATGGCAAACATTTGATAAGTTTATCCACAATATCCGAACAGTAAATGTCAGACATGAATAGATACTGTCGAATGTGAAATATGAATAACAACATTTTAACCTTTACATGTATTGTTTTAGTGTTAAATTTCAATATACAAACACAAGTCATTAAGAACCATGGTGTACCCAATGCCATATAGCAGCCTGGTACATGCATAATCTATATTGCTTCTAAATTTTAAAACACAACGGTTGACAGGGATACTGACTTATCTACCTAAGCCTCTCTGGGCCACTGTGTTATCAAAAAATACTTGTAAGTCATATTCAATTAAATGTGTGAGTGAGTTTAGTTTTACGCCACACTCAGCAATATTCCAGCTACACCGTACATGGCGGCGGTCTGTTAATAATCGTATCTGGACCAGACAATCCAGTGATCAACAGCATGCGCATCGATCTAGGCAATTGGGAACCGATGACATGTGTCAACCAAGTCAGCGAGCCTGACCACCGGATCCCGTTAGTCGCCTCTTACGACAAGCATGGGTTACTGAAGATCAATTCTAACCCGGATCTTCACGGGTCTTCAATTAAATGAGCAATGTTTTATACGAAATACTCCTATCGATGCTTGATAACACATTATGCGTCAACATTATAAAACTTTTACAGCCTTGCCTTTGACTGAAAGAATGCTACATTTTCCAGATAACCAGAGTGGTTAAAGGTGCCATTCCTAGTATCCTCGTGACCAAGAACGATCCACTTGGACTGATGTCGAAAGTCTGTTGTTCTGTTGGACTTCAGATCATAGCGTGCAGCCTTCAAAGAAAATTATACGATAGAATGAACTACATAAACATAAATTGTTTGACAGATATATAGAAACGTGGTTTAGAACCTCTTTGGTATTGATTCAATCAAAGTGCAATTGGGAGCCATGAAATCGATTTGTCTGTAAAGTTTAAGAGTATTAGATGGAGCAAATATTGGCTTAGGAGGTATTTACAAATGAGTGATGGTGACTCATACCTCGTCCAGGAATCGCCAACATGTCCTTGACTCTTCACAGAGAAGCACGGTATTAATGTTGGGCTGCAGGTTGTGGTAGAGAACATGCAAGAGAGTTTGTACACCAACGCTGATGAAGTCGTAGATCATCGTTGTCGTTGTTGGTAATGAAGACGTCAATGTTTTCGCCAGCGACCCAATTGTAGCTGGAAAGATTTAAATGGATGACCATTTTTTATAGGACTACAAAAAATGGATTTCAAAATGAAGAGGGTTTTGAATCTTAACTTGACAATATCCCCGGATGTATCAATAACAACGTCATTTTGGGTTGAATGTCATCTCGGGTCAAAGGATGCCTAACCATATTACTCACAATCCTTGCCCGATCCGCCATAGATACATAACTTTATTCGTTTAATGTCACATTAGGCAAAACGTAATTAGGTCTCTGTAACACGCCAAAGGTTCAACTGTATAGTGTATAATACAAACTACAAGAACTGTTTTGTGTTTTGTGACAGACAGCTAAGAACATACCTGATTTGCCATCAAATATAACAGCCACAGATTCCCACCTCATGGTTTCTATCCATTTCACCATTTCTTCTATTGGATACTTGAGTTTTTGAAGTACATCACCATCAGTGATGTTAGGTTGATAACCTTTAAAACATCAATATATTCTTATATAGACTGGCAATGTGATTTGCCTTTCTTCTTTTTTCGTTCGGTCGCAGAAAGGTTAATGAAAACACGTTTATCCGCCGTCGTTGGTAATCGCGTCGTTCTGAGAAATGCCATGAATTCAATGTGGGTTTGGCCAAATCGTGCTTGGATATTCCCATTCCAGTAATTTCTTTGAGTGGGATTTTAGAAGCTGGGAAGTACAATATAGACAAACTTTATGGATAACAACTTCTTTATTTCGTGAGTACAACGTTTCGATACAGATTCATGTACCGTTGTCAAGCAGTACAACGGTACAATAATCTATAACGAAACGTCGCACTCATGAAATAGGTTTGTCTATATTGCATGCAGGTTAATGTTCGAATTTAAGAGATTTCAGTGGCTTGAAACAAGTTGAAGCTGATACAATTGTTCAATGGTTTACCAAAGACTCGTTTGATGCATACAGATGCAACGTCAGTGTTCCAGATCATCTTTTATCTACTCTCATATATTACTTGTACATTGTAGAAACGATTTGATTAAGTTAATGATTATTTCAGGTAAAGATATCGTGTTCATAGCTACGTAATACCAAATATTGTTCAAATAATGGATTTTCTTAAAATTGTAGAGACATATAGACAAGGAAAGAAACACATTTATTCAGTAGGGTACAGCATGGTTCTTTCATATGTGAAGCTAACAGGATATTGCCTCGACTACAACAGATGGTCTATATATGTATTTCTTTTTCGATACAACATCAAAAGACCCTAGCATAATTGTCATTGGATGATGACTCTGGTTCTTGGAATTTAAAATATACTGGACAAAAATAGTTAGGGATATATGTAAATTTTGAAATTATGAATAATGATCTATTTATTCATTGACACAGTGATAAATATCAATCATATAAAATACCAATATGCCTAACTTATTTTGTCCAGTATATATGGGTAAATCTAAATTATGATGGTAAGAAAGTTTAAGTGGACAAACAAGGGGGAAATGATTCCTGCCCTAGACGACTGTTTAGGAGACTCGCCACCTAGAAGCAAGTGATAACGAAAATAACGCCAGCATTCATAACAAGGCCTCTTAAGTTATTTCCATGTATTTCTTTCTCTGGAGTTCTTTGAGTCTAATCACTTTATTCATGAAGCACATTCACAGTATTCATGGTCTTGATTAACGCATACCTGTTCGTGTGTTAAGGAGGTAATCTAGACCTGAATACAGGTATTCAAAACACAATCAGGTACATGTCATATGTATGTATTATCTTAGTGTACAATGAACACGGCAACCAGATCTATATTTCCATTCATCCTATATGGTGTACAATTACTGTAATACATGCAATGAATGTTGGGTGCTAGCAGTAGAGTAGGATGTGTTAATTCTTTCACGAGCACCTAGTGACATAATTACAATGATTACTTCATGTAATACCGTTTTTTCTTTTCCGTCATTTGCATATTATTCTCCGGCGTTAACATTTCGAATGCAACAAGAAACTATGAAAATTACCTCAACTTTTAGGATGACATTTTTAGCGTGTGAAGATGAAGTACATGGGATATGACATTGGGGGAGCGTCTTTCGGACAAATTCGACCACAACATTGCAATTGTGACCAGAAGTTCTTTGAGAAGCATTGGATCAATGAGGAAGGATGACAACATATGAATGAGCAACTTCTGTATTACAGAGCCACTTGCTTGATACGGGTGTTAGAACCTACACCGAAGTGTCGCTCTTACTGTTATAAAGAAGTTGCTCATCCATTTATTGTTATCCTTCGTTATATGACGGAAGGTCTATGTCCACAACGCTAGTTAAATTAAATATACGTAACTTACTTGAAACGTCTGCGGCAGCTAGAACACACAACCACAACACAGCGGCCATGTTTTGAAGTTCTCTGTCGTCATTAACATTTCAAATCAGTATAGATTTCTGCTCACATGTAGTGCCAATAATGCATGTTATAGACATTGGCTGTAAAGATCAAATGGTTAGTGTTAATGTCGAAAGTGCGCGGGCATCGATTCTGAATGTATGGTAAGGACAAAAGGGCGGCGTGATTTGTTTGGGGATTGACTTCCTACTCAAACATTTGCCAGACTGGCACAATTGGTTGGAACAGTCTGGTTGCCATGGCTATAGTATGTCAGATACTTGACAGGGATGTAGAGAGGATTGTGTCGCGTTCAACTAAACAACACACTGTTTACGTTTTGTATAAACTTATTCGAACTTTATATAGTGTTAGTCAATTATGTGTTTTGTTAAGGCCGTTGCACAATGCCCTGTCGCTGAACCATTCACTACATAAATTCAGGTGCTATTTGAATTTGTTAAGACAGAAATTTCTTGGTTCAGATGTTTATTGGTTTCAAGCAGTAAATGTGCGTTAGCTATGCGAGTATACATGTAACGCAAGATACTGGGATTCGCCTCTTTGCGTGAACATAGTGAGTGAGTTTGCTTCTACACAAACTATACATATAGTTTGTCAATATTCTAGGCATATTGGCATCAGAGATGGGGGCATCAGAGATTGGCTTCACAATTTGGACCAATATGGAAAACGAAAAACAAACCTAGGTTTTCGGTGTGACGAGCGAAATTTCTTACCACAGGCCACTTCACTGCCCAAAGCGTGACAAAAATTCTAGTTATTACAGAGACACACACACACGCACGCACGCACGCACGCACGCACGCAGAGAGACAGAGAGAAGTCAATGCTGTGTATCCTGTCTCTCTGTGTTGAATCCGGCATGGTGAGTGTGCAGGCTGTTCCTGTTGCCTCTCGCCGTTTTATGGATATAGTAAGAAATAACTCAAAATCACTTGGCGCACCAGAAAATCGGTAATGTCTGCTAATTACTTGGGCTACCTTACAATAGGTATGACAAAAGCCTACTGTGCGAATGACCGAAATTAATACGATGTTTGAGAAGAGCAGCTGGGGACTTAAAATCGAATATATCCTGTCGTGAAAATATTGGCCGAGCGACAAATTTGATAAAACTGATGGAAAGACGTGGTCAGACAATTGCAATCGATGGCACAAGAGGCAACCGCACTGCTACGACAGATGCTGTTTCTCCTTTAAGCTGGGGATTCTATAAGTGAGTGCACTTTTAGCAATGTTCCAGCAATAACACGGCGGGTGACACCAGAAAAAGGACTTCACACATTGTACCCATGTGGAGAATCGAACCGGGTCTTCGGCATGACGAGCGAACGCTTTAACTATTAGGGTACCCCACCGCTGGTAGGGATTGTATTAACTTTTGTAATGAAACATGACATATACTAACTTTTCCCATAATTCAAGGAAACACTGTACTTATGTACTATGAGGCTACCTGTACTGTACTGTACTGTACTACTGATGTAAAACCTGTAAACATGTAACACTTCATATACATGCTTAGTTTGACCATTTTACATATTTATGAACAGTATGATGTTAGATTGAGTGACAAAGGAAACACTGTACTTGTGTACAATGAAACTATTTGTACTGCACTGTACTACTGTGGTAAAATCTGTAAACATGTAACACTTCATATACATGCTTAGTTTTTGACCGTTTTTACATATTTGTGAACAGCATGTTATTTGACAATGATATCAAAGAAACACTGTACTTGCATACTAAGAAGCTACCTGTACTGTACTACTGAGATAAAATCTGTAAACATGTAACACTTCATATACACCGTTTTACATGCAGCATATTTGACAATGATATGAAACACTGTACTTGCATACGTTTTGTACATATTTGTAAACATGTAACAGCTTAGTGTAAACAGCATGTACAATGATATCAAAGAAACACTGTACTTGCATACTAAGAACACTTCATATACATGCTTAGTTTTTGACTTCCTGTTATTTGACAATGATATCAAAGAAACACTGTACTTGCATACTAAGAAGCTACTGTACTGTACTACTGAGATAAAATCTGTAAACATGTAACACTTCAAATCTTAGTTTTGACCGTTTATGTAACAGCATTTTGACATATATGCACTGTACTTGCATACTAAGAAGCTACCTGTACTGTACTACTGAGGTAAAATCTGTAAACATGTAACACTTCATATACATGCTTAGTTTTTGACCGTTTTTACATATTTGTGAACAGCATGTTATTTGACAATGATATCAAAGAAACACTGTACTTGCATACTAAAAGCTACTTGTACTGTACTGTTCTACTGCGGTAAAGTTTGTAAACATAATTCTGGGAATATAAACATGAAAAAAACAACACAAAAAACAAACTTTTCCCATAATTCATTGGGGATCAGAACCCCTTTGAAATGTCACTTGACAACACATAGGTCATTTGGTATGTCAATACTATACAACATGATCTTGCATCTGACCCCAATTCAGTGTTTGTTTATAATTACATCCAAGCAAAGTAATTTACTATTGTATTATGTATTGAACGATGGGTTTGAGAGCAAACAATCGTTTGTACGTACCCTGTTAATTTCTGTTTTATCAAGATTCTATGTAAACGTCAATATTTCTCCATTGTCGTACAATTCCTTCATGGTTGCATCCACAGGTATATGGTTTCAGCCGGAAAAACAACAAAGGTAAGTCGATATTGTTGAAGGGTAAGACACCCCGTCCCAAGCACAGTTTAATAATGTATATCTTGATAGACAAAACGACACAAAGGCAAAAACACAGTGGAAACCATGTTAACGGTTTTGATACTGACGAACCACTGTTAAACGTAACATGTTTGCGGTATCGAAGTTGAACGACTAATTTAGCACCGAACGTATATATCAAATTCAAGAGAGAAAACATGTCCATATCGTTCAGGAAATCGGCCACATGCATATGTATTCAAAATACAATCCTGATTAAGCAACGGACAATATAATATCAGGAAATACTCTTTTCTACATGGGGCGGTGGGGTAGCCTAATGGTTAAAGCGTTCGCTCGTCACGCCGAAGACCCGAGTTCGATTCTCCACATGGGTACAATGTGTGAAGTCGATTTCTGGTGTCCCCGTCGCGATATTGCCGTAACATTGCTAAAAGTGGCGTAAAAAGACATACTCACTCACTCTTTTCTACACAGTAAAAGCATTCACTTCTGGCCTTGCAGTCACAATAAATGTCTAAACCGTCAGACGTTGTAATGTAACATATTTTACCATTTCATTTGTGAATCCGCCTTGTCCAGTTTCAGTGACCAAACTATCAACGTGACACCGACAACAATGTGACATTTCAGTGTACATGACATCAAGTGAGAGCGCTGTCTAGTACACTAAATCAGTTTACATAGCAATTCAAATTACTGCAAAGACTTCTAGTTGTAGTACATATACTTCGGCAATATGATATATAAGCAGTGATTATAAATATGGAGACAGTGATGAGAATGTTCACCTAGCACCGCCAGGCTCCCAGGATACGGCCGCGAATAGCTGCAAAATGGCTGAATAGGCATTAAGCAACTGACTCACTCACTCACTCTAGGCATGGCCTGCAAACAGAGGGTAATCTTCAAACATTTCTGGTCTTAATTTGATTTGATATGTCATTTACATCTACGTATTGTCTTAATACTTCCTCACGGTGGAATATTACCCTACGAACATCCAGTAACTAGTAACTAGCACACCACTAGCACACCACTAGCACACCACCAGCACACCACTAGCACCACCACCAGCACAGCAACAGCACACCACACACCACCAGCACACCACTAGCACACCACCAGCACACCCACCAGCACACCACCAGCACACCACCAGCACACCACCAGCACACCACCAGCACACCACCAGCACACACCACTAGCGCACCACCAGCACACCACCAGCACACCACCAGCACACCACCAGCACACCACCAGCACACCACCAGCACACCACCAGCACACCACCAGCACACCACCAGCACCACCACACCACCAGCACACCACTACACCAGCACACCACTAGCACACCACCAGCACACCACCAGCACACCACCAGCACACCACCAGCACACCACCAGCACACCACTGCACACCACCAGCACACCACCAGCACACCACCAGCACACCACCAGCACACCACCAGCACACCACCAGCACACCACCAGCACACCACCAGCACACCACCAGCACACCACCAGCACACCACCAGCACACCACTAGCACACCACCAGCACACCACTGGCACACCACCAGCACACCACCAGCACCACACCACAGCGCACCACCAGCACACCACCAGCACACCACCCCAGCACACCAGCAGCACACCACCAGCACACCACCAGCACACCACCAGCACACCACCAGCACACCACCAGCACACCACCAGTACACCACCAGCACACCACCAGCACTACACCACTCAGCGCACCACCAGCGCACCACCAGCACACCACCAGCACACCACCAGCCAGCACACCAATTCAGTACACCACCAGCACACCACCAGCCACCACCACCAGCACACCACCAGCACACCACCACAATTCACCACCAGCGCACCACTGGCACACCACCAGCACACCACCAGCACACCACCAGCGCACCACCAGCACCACCACCAGCACACCACCAGCACACCACTAGCACACCACTAGCACACCACCAGCACACCACCAGCACACCACCAGCACACCACCAGCACACCACCAGCACACCACCAGCACACCACCAGCACACCACCACTAGCACACCACCACACCACTTAGCACACCACCAGCACACCACCAGCACCACTGGCCACCACCAGCACACCACTAGCACACCACCAGCACACCACCAGCACCACTAGCACACCACCAGCACACCACAGCACACCACCAGCAGTACCACTAGCACACCACCAGCACACCACCAGCACACCACCAGCACACCCCAGTACACCACCAGCACACCACCAGCACACCACCAGCACACCACCAGCACACCACTAGCACACCACCAGCACACCCCAGTACACCACCAGCACACCACCAGCACACCACTAGCACACCACCAGCACACCCCAGCACACCACCAGCACACCACTAGCACACCACTACCACACCACTAGCACACCACTAGCACACCACCAGCACACCACCAGCACACCACCAGCACACCACCAGCACACCACCAGCACACCACCAGCACACCACTAGCACACCACTAGCACACCACTAGCACACCACCAGCACACACCACCAGCACACCACCAGCACACCACCAGCACACCACTAGCACACCACTAGCACACACACTAGCACACCACTAGCACACCACCAGCACACCACCAGCACACCACCAGCACACCACCCAGCACACCACCACACCACTAGCACACCATTAGCACACCACCAGCACACCACCAGCACACCACTAGCACACCACTAGCACACCACTAGCACACCACCAGCACACCACCAGCACACCACCAGTACACCACCAGCACACCACTAGCACACCACCAGCACACCACCAGCACACCACTCAGCACACCACTAGCACACCACCAGTACACCACCAGCACACCACCAGCACACCACCAGCACACCACTAGCACACCACCAGCACACCACTAGCACACCACTAGCACACCACCAGCACACACACCAGCACACCACCAGCACACCACCAGCACACCACCAGCACACCACACCACCAGCACACCACCAGCACACCACCAGCACACACCAGTTCACCACCAGCGCACCACTAGCACACCCCAGTACACCACCAGCACACCAACACACCACTAGCACACCACTAGCACACCACTAGCACACCACTAGCACACACCACCAGCACACCACCAGCACACCACTAGCACACCACTAGCACCACCAGCACACCACCAGCACACCACCAGCACACCCCACACACCACTAGCACACCACTAGCACACCACTAGCACACCATTAGCACACACCACCAGCACACCACCAGCACACCCCAGCACACCACTAGCACACCACCAGCACACCATCAGCACACCCCAGTACACCACCAGCGCACCACTAGCACACCCCAGTACACCACCAGCACACCCCAGCACACCACTAGCACACCACTAGCACACCCCAGTACACCACCAGCACACCCCAGTACACCACCAGCGCACCACTAGCACACCCCAGTACACCACCAGCACACCCCAGTACACCACTAGCACACCCCAGCACACCACTAGCACACCACCAGCACACCCCAGTACACCACCAGCGCACCACTAGCACACCCCAGTACACCACCAGCACACCCCAGCACACCACCAGCACACCCCAGCACACCACTAGCACACCACCAGCACACCATCAGCACACCCCAGCACACCACTAGCACACCACCAGCACACCATCAGCACACCCCAGTACACCACCAGCGCACCACTAGCACACCCCAGTACACCACTAGCACACCCCAGCACACCACCAGCACACCCCAGCACACCACTAGCACACCACTAGCACACCACTAGCACACCAGCACACCACTAGCACACCACCAGCACACCACTTCCCTCGAATCTTAACATGAACAATGTTACAATCGCAACTGGTTTACAAACATCACACTGGCATGTAACACTATAAACAATGAAATGTCACAAAATTGATTATTAACTTTGTTGTTGACGTAATGAAGGTGTTTCAAATAGATACAACGTCAATTACAATTGTTTCATTTTAGAAAAACCAGCTGTCTATTTCCTAGCGTATGAATGTTTCCATTACCAAATGGGTCGTTCTGCTGCAGCACACGACATAACAAATAACTGTAATCTGCGAATAATGTGGGGCAGGATTTCAACAATAAAACAAAAAAAATAAATGACAGATAACAGAGGTATTTACACTTAATTTCATGAAAAGTGTGAGAGGGACCCGTGCTACTGGAATGTCAGAATGTGTTTACTGTTTACATCTAATTTCATCACTAGGTGCGCTCGATTAATGTTATTTTCACTGCTATTTTGTCTAAAACCCAATGGGAATATACGTCGTGGTAAAATTGAAACACGTATTCCCCGGCGTTTATGTATATTTTTTAATGTACAATGAAGTTTAAACACAATTAAAGCGTGTATGT